GCAGCTACAGAGATGAAGAATAAGCATGTTTTTCCAATGGCGTGTTCCACCGCAGCCAAAAGCAGCATGAAGGTGATTCGCTCGGTCTCTGCTCCCACCTCTCTACAGTACCTGTGTTGCTCACGACTCCGCAAGCTGCTCCCGTCTGGAGTCGATGCCCTCCGAGTCCTGCCCCTGCCGCCCGGCCTCAGACACCTTCTTCACTCCAAACTGGGATGGGTGCTAAGCCTGGATCATACGCACACGCACTCGAACACACACACCCCACCAGGACCCTCCTCGGGCAGTGACTCTGAGGGCTGCTCCTCAGACCCGGAGGCCTGCCAGCGGAAACGTTGCCGCTGGACCTGAGGCTGTGAGTGCATGTCCATTATGCATCATTATGCACACATCAGAAAATGTCTCCGCAAATAAAAAAAAAAGAACCAACATATATAAACACTGGACGGGTGCTGTCAATCACAACGGTGGATAACAGGGCTGGCTGTAACTTCAAGGTCAGTCAAGCCTGTTTTACTAGTTGCATCACTGGTAAATATTCATCTTTCAAGGCTCTAAAGGTAGTTTGCGCCATCAGGTGACATTTGGATATATATTGCAGTATTCAGTCATAGTCAGTTTTTATTATGTTGTGAACTCCGAGTGGAATGAAGACCATCAGCTCTTCAGAAAAAAACAAGATGTGAACCTCATGAACCTGTTCTGATGTGGGAAACAATAACATGCCGCCATCTGAAACGCAGGCAAACACTTCACAAACCCCCCCTGCAGAGTGATTATGCAGGGAAGGTGGGATCTTGCTTTCAAAGCTAGCTTGCTATTGCTAGCCTTTCCGAAATCGCCTACTCTACCTTTAAATTCACTGCCTTTAAAACAACTCTGCTACAGTAACACTTTTTGTAATTCACATCAACAAATTTCCATTTTTGTAAAAAAAAAAATATTCAATAAATTTCCAGTTATCCTTAGAGAACAAAACCAATGTCTTGGTAATGTCTGTAAGCAATGTCTTCATAAATGCATGTAATAAGTTTATAGTTACTTCACCTACTGTTTTTATTAGAATATTTGTCAGATACCTTGTTCAGGGGTTGTGGTTTGCGTTCATATATCCATAAGAAAAATGTGCTGTCCGTGTCTGGTGAACATGGTTATACAAGGCTATAACTAGTTCAAACGACCCACCAACTAGTCTTAAATAATCACAGAGCTGTCTTTGAAGCAGTTTAAAACACTAATTTGATAACATTTAACCCATATGTTGTGTGCATGGCAGGTGTAGCAGCTACAGAGATGAAGAATAAGCATGTTTTTCCAATGGCGTGTTCCACCGCAGCCAAAAGCAGCATGAAGGTGATTCGCTCGGTCTCTGCTCCCACCTCTCTACAGTACCTGTGTTGCTCACGACTCCGCAAGCTGCTCCCGTCTGGAGTCGATGCCCTCCGAGTCCTGCCCCTGCCGCCCGGCCTCAGACACCTTCTTCACTCCAAGCTTGGGGGCAGAAAAAGTTACCCAATCTCCTCTGAAGTAATGCATATTCATGTCTTTCTCCATTACAGGCCAGTCAAACATCTCGGCACTTCAGAGTGTCAAGGTCTGTTCCCTCTTGATGTTTGAACAATCATTGTATGTTTTTACTCTCTTCTTATATTGTCAAACAGCTTGGACTAACCAATAGACAGTAAGTAACAACAGTGACGTCATGATGAATGTCTGCATAAATGTGTTATAAATACCTTTATGTTGAAATGGTGAGGAAAATGCCTGTGTATTTTGACAGTTTTTGGCTCTAGGGATTACTTTGGCCCTAGTTCTTACTCAAAAGTGTGTTTATGTGTGTCTAAACAGTATTTCCATAGAAATTCTGTTTCCCTGGAAATACCTTGATGCAGTTGTCGAACTGACTGATGCAAACTGAAGTGGAGGTTGATTCAGTTTTCAATCTGTGCAACATCTCTACATGAGGTTCATATTGAATTCATATGGGGTTTATATTGCAGATTTTGTAATTCATTGTTTAAAAAAAAGCAAATCATGTTTTTGTTATGCATAAAGCACTTTTTGCGTTTATTGTACGTATGTAGAAATATATACAGGTCCCTATACTGTGTTCTAAGCGTATTGTGTCATAAGCGCTCTCTCTTTCTCTCATTCACTCTCTGTCTTCTCTCTTCCTTCTCTTGCTTCTACACCATACATTAAGCATGGCCTTTTATATGAGTCAAGAAAAAAATAAGGAATATTATATATGCATTAAAAAAGGGGCTGAATATGTTTTTGTTTGTTTGTTCTTTTTGAGATCTTAATAAAGGTTTCCAAAAATCAATCATATAGTTGCTCTTATTACACAAAATTAAAACTACACTTTCCATCATATTACATCTTTTGGATAATGAATTTCTAATGAATTTTGTTCAGAATTATTATTATTTATGTAGGTCTGACTAACAAGTAAGAAAGTTTGTAGCTGGACAGTTTTATGACCAAGTGGAAGACATCTATTCTTTCAAAACAATGTTATTAATGATATGTAATATAATACAGTGGTTCCCAACCCTGGTCCTGGAGGCACCCCAACATTGGACAGATAATATTTGAGCACATTAGGTGACAGTTCTGTTATTTGCAGTCATGTATTACTGTTAAAAAGATTAGGGTCTGTAAGATGTTTTTTGGAACTTAAGCGAGAATGCACTAAATTGCTAAAAAGTGACAGACATTTATAATGTTACAAAAGAGTTAGATTAAAAAAAAAATGCTATTCTTTTTAACTTTTTTATTAATCAAAGAATCATGAAAAACATTATCATGGATACTACAAAATACCGATATGGTGGCCGATATATCGTGCATCCCTAGATATTTTACAATATTACTGTTTTTAATGTATTTTTGCTTAAATAAATGCAGCTTTGGTGAGACCACAAACTTGAACAGTTGAAAACATGAACAGTAATGAATGAGTGACAACATTACATATTGTGAGTAGAATTATACAAAGTAAACAAATGTAGCAAATAAATACAGCAACCTCACTGTGACACATTGTTTGGATGTGTGTTTCAGGTAAAGAGGAACCCGAAGAGCGTGAGGTGGATAAGGTGATGTACCATGACTGGCGACTGGTGCCCAAACATGAAGAAGAGGTCTTCAAATGCTGTGAACCTGTCTCTGAGCCTCCTGTGCGTTATGTGAGATACCCGCCTCTCCTGCGTGCGATGATCCTGGCCCAGCAAGCCAAGCAGCTGGGTCTAGATACCAGCACTATCCCAGAGCCCACTCTTCCATTGAAACGGGATGTCCTGCTCAATCATGTGTACTTCAGGAGTCAGGATGAGAAGAAGATACAGGAGGGTACACCTGTCTGATGCTCAGGTCCACTTCAGAGGGGTCGAGGTCATGGTGAAGAGATCTGAGTTGCAGTGGTCTTGATGAACAGTTGAAAACATGCTTCTTTTGTTCCTAATTTGATAGGCACTGCTTGATGGTCAAAGACTAGTTTGTGTTTTAATGCTATGTTTTGGTAAGACAAAATATAGCCTTAAGTATTCATCTGTCTTGCTGGGATCATGTGGCTAATGACGGCATGGAGAAAAAAAAGAGATATCTTTGGACATGTGACCAAACCCAAATGGACAATCCTCTGTGGAAAGACACAGAGACACATTTTTTTTAGTTAATATCTGTGTGATATTCTATATCACATATAGATTTACATTATGTGAGCTAAATATGAAGTTGTATGCATTATTTGCAGATATAGAATAAAAATGGGTCAACTGAATTTGGTCTAAATTTGAAAATGAATCGTCCCACAATTATGCGTAATGTCAATGTCAAATTTTAATTCTAAAAATAATTTCAGTCATGAAAATTTAAATGAAAATCACAATTGAGAAAACCTATTTTGTTTGTTGTTTTTAATCTTTACCATGCATACTTGCAAACAACCCAGGGATCCCATATATATCACACTTTACAATATAGTTTCTTACTTTTTATTTTCTATACTGTTTGTGATTTTTATTTTTTTCTTAATGTGTGTATATTGATGATGTTTTGTTTGTTGTTTTTAATCTTTACCATGCATACTTGCAAACAACCCAGGGATCCCATATGTATCACACTTTACAATATAGTTTCTTACTTTTTATTTTCTATACTGTTTGTGATTTTTATTTTTTTCTTAATGTGTGTATATTGATGATCGAAGCATTATAGAAAAGTGTTTTTAACATGCATACTGGGGTGTTTTCAATATGTTGCCTAACTAGTGCGGACATGCAAAGTGAGACAGCACGCACGCTCGCGCATGTCACCTAGCGACACTCATCAGCGCACGCACGCACGCGTCTCCTCCCGCTCTCTCCTGAGGCAACCCTGCGCCTTGGACTGCTAAGATGATCATACTTTGCTTAACGATATTTGCGAACATTTTCAAGACTGGTAAGTAGTGCCAATTAGGTGAATTTTAGCCGTGTATCTGCTGAATGCAGTTTCAAGTGATGGAACGACTCAAGCAGTTCTCATGTCTGCGTCTCATTTTGCTTCATCTCGTGAGTTATTGTTTGCTAGCCTGACTATCCAGATGTACAAGTTACGGCGCTGCGTATGTACGCCCAAACTGCAACGTTTTAGGCGAGACTACTATTGCTGCGTCTCTATGTGCGTACTTATACTACGCCCTTAAAGTATGTACTCTGTTGGTGAAGAAAAAATACACACTTTTGAGTGTGTAGTAGAAGAGTAGGCAAGCTTTGGGACATACTACCAGGTCACACAACTGCGTCTTTAAGGGACGCTCTGTCGCATAGATACACGCACCCTGTCACTGTAAACTGGCCTGTCAATCATCTTGTTACAGTTAACATCCTCCGCATTGCATTTCATTTAACTTCCTACCGTATTGGAGAGAAAAGTCTTTCATGCCGAGAACTCTGCTCATATTTTATGCATAATGATGCATTTAAAAGTTAACGACCAAACGGATGTTTATAAAAGTTTACATTGCTGTTGCAGATGAAATATAACTCAGATAACATTAAATAAATATTTTTTTACAAGGTTAAATGTTGAATATTAGTAACTCAAACCCCTTTTTCTAAGCCTCTTTACCTAACCGTCGGTCGCGCACATCCGCCATGTTTGTAGTTTTTTTAACGCATTTTATTCGTGTTTGTAGTTCTGGACAGAATTCTTCACCAGTTCGCAATGGATTGTGGGCAATATATTAGCCATTAGAGTGTGCACGGATCCACACTTCAAAAATCGACCTGAAATAGTAGACCATTCGGGGACTTTCTTTTGGCATACTCTTTTTAACATACTATGCTTTGGGAGACACTTATTCTAATCTCACATACTATTTAGGATGGATAGTCTGAACACTGAGACGCAGGGTATGTTTCAGAGTTAAAACATACGAAGTTACAGCAGCATGCATTACAATGCAAGCATTTCGCTTTAACATATGCGGCCCATTCACGTCATTCATCTACCTAAGTAGGTTGCCACCTGTGTCTTGGGTCCCAGTCTGCTCTGCTAACGAATAATTGTGATTGTTCCCAAAGTTGAACATTCATAACCTGTAAGAAGTAAAAAAGGTAATAAAACGCGTTCTCTGTAAGTTCTCAGCCTGATCCTATTAATAGTGCCGTTTGCGTTCCTGTGATTGGTTCTGGAGTATTTGCCTGCGCAGTGCTCGCTCGTGATTGGTCAGTCGGTGTGCTGAACCCGCGAGACTACTGCGCGAATAATGGGTTTCTAAAAGGTCTGACACAGAAGAGCTCGCGGATTTGGCGGCAAAACACGCCAGGATTATTGAATCAGGTATGCAGAAGAACACCTGCTATTACAAAGGCACCTCAAGCCATTTCAATGTGCACTATATTGCAGGGACCACGAACAGAACGAGATCGGGCTAGTATTATATTGACTACTTCTACATGGGTTTCATAAAATGATAATTATATTTATCAGTATGTAAATAAAAATAATGCATTTGATTTGGGAAATGAATATGCGTTCCGAGTGCGTCAGTTCTTTTTGTGACCTATACAGACAGGTGGTGAGCACTAGTAAGAGGTTTATTGCTTGGTATTAATAGGGTATATGCTGCTTTCAAAATGGGTTGTTGTTTTCGAATGAGTGGATTTATTTGTACTTTTTTTGTGTAAATGTTAAGCTTTTATATACCATATTATAATATATCTGTAAGATATGTTTTGTTTTGTTAACATATATATATATATATATATATATATATATATATATATATATA